CACATCTTCAGACTCCTGAGGATCCATTTACTGGGACTGTTACAAAAACAGGCATGGCTTCAAGAGACTGTTCCTACAGCATCAAGAACTTAACTGCAAAACCCCCCCAGAAGAACAGAACAGAATATCAAGGCTGCAGCAGGTGCAGAAACCGACTAAACTACGTTGATTTTGGTGACATGGACTCTAGTTTGGCTTATATCAAGATTCTTGAATATTGGTATTGGAAAGTAGTAGACTATAGGATTCAAGTTACATTTGGAAATATCAAAAAAGCTTTTTATATCGCTTAACAATACATGTCCGATTAAATGTTCTCCTTCCTGAAATAGCGTTGAGTTCTCCAGGACAATTTAATGTATCAGCACAATGTCGAGATAATAAAAGTTGACCCTGAGAACAACAAATGAAAGATATGAAAACATGAATCAGCTCAGATTTGTGTACCGCAATGCAAATTATGTATGTATACTCGATACTTTTGATATCCTAATTATTATAATGGTGGTATTAAAGATGCTATGTGACCAAAACGACGTTTGGATGGTTTGAGCTTCACCCCACCACACCTGCACAAACACATTACAAAGCAACAAACTCCTTTTATTGTCCGATCTACAGGCTCCTGCTTTCTGTCAGAGAAGTTAAGAAATGTCTATAGTTTTTTGGAAACGACGCAGTATGGGCCGGTTTCAGGATCAAGATACAGCAGGTTCAGCAAAAATCTGGCAAACAAGAAGCCAGAGAAAGTGCTGCAGTGGTTTTCCTCTGGCTGTGTGAAGCTCTGAATGACACCACAAACCTTCCCCCACTTGTTGCTCAACAGTTGTGCGAAGAAGATTCTTTCATGTATCCCTTTGGTAACAAGAAATCCTAATTTGTTTGTTTGGAAATGTTTCAAGTCACAAAAATCACATCAGTGAGCCTTTTGTCACTCTTATTAGCTTAATCCTACTTTTGTTTAAAATGTCTTCCAGTTCAAATATTAGAAGTTGTTAGAATTTAAAGTTTATTGATCCTTCAGAATGTGTTCTTGCATTGTTGTGCCATTACAATTATATTACTTGAAAATGATCTCAAAACAACAATATTATCGTTTATCGCAATAACTTCTGGGACAATTAATTGTCCAGCAAAAGTTGTTATCATGACAGGCCTAGTCGTGGCTTCCAGCTCATGCAAACTAGAATTTTCAGTTTCTCAGGAAGTTTTTAAATCAGACCAATAACAAAAATAATTTTTGACAAAAGAAATGTCAGATGGAAGT